GCTGGTCAGTTTCAGCAGCGGCTGAATCTGGACGCCAGTTCCGACTTACATACAGATTCAACTTAAGAACAAACCTACAGTCCCTATCTTGTACATAACCCGGGGACTGCCTGTACTAGGTATGGGGATTATCTGATGTTTCATTAGAGGAATTTTTGTGGAAATGATTAATTGCCATATAGCCGTACCAAATACAATAAGATAGAAATTAAAATTGGTTATTTAATTAAGTACAGTTTACACTATTGACAGGATAAGAAGTTCATGAGCATTGTGGGGGGGAAGTGACATGAAATGTGCCCTGAGACAAGTAATTGGGCATATTTAATAAATCAAGAAAAAATGGATAATAAATAATGTATTCATGATGGACATCACAATTAATTTGTTTCTAAGTGGATTATTGCATCCCTCTTCCTTTGCACAATCATTTCACATGTATCATTCTATATTATTGAGTAGTTTTTATATTGCTCTACTTTATACAGAAAGGGGCTAGCCCAAGTGCTGAAATTCAACATAATTTTCTTTAAAAAAAAATCTTATGTTCTACACTACAGACACTTTAGTGTCAATAAGAAGAGTTACATTTCATTGACAAGCAAATGATCATAGACCTAAGAAAATATAAACTTGGAAATGTTTGAGTTAATATACCAATAAATAGCATATTACTATGTAAAAGAAATGAAACATTTTGCACACAGAAGATATTTTTCTAAGACCTGAAGGTTGTCTGTATAACAGGTAAAATATAATCAACAGTTTATAATATAATGGTCAACCAACATGACCTGATGTGAAATGATGCTACATCCTGTAACATCATGAGCTCTTTATATGGTATAGTGACATATAAAACATCAGAAATAGGAAAACCTGATGTTGACTAACAACTTTCACTTTGTAACAATATTCACTCTGAATATTTTTGTCATTAGTGAATGTTTTCAATACCTGCTCCTGCTTCCACTTGAGTCATTGGCAAAATTCAGTTGCTTTCACTGGAACAGAGTCAAGCTAATTGACCCCAACCCTGTTCACAATGAAGGGAATGGCAAAACTTTAATTTACCTGGCTGGGGCAGGATCTGACCCATTATAAGTACAGGATACATTAGATGATCCACATGTAGAGTTCCAAAAGCATATGTTTCATTTTTCCATACATATATTTAGGAGCCCTCCAACATGACCAATACTAGAATGCATTACAGCTTTCATGGTACAATTGGCACTAGGAGGCACTTAAGTGACATGTTTAAAACTTATCTTTGGTAAACACACACAAAAAATTGCAACTAATATTTTGTTTCCTGATCATGAGAAAAAATTTAATTTGCTACTTGTATATGCGTGCACACACATCTAAATGTATATAGGACATTTCTAGTAAAAAATGTCATATCAAATGCAAGTAAGAACATTTTTTTAATCACTTCAAAATGACACATTCCTGTTCTGCTGGGGTTTTGTTTGTTTTCATTATTACCATAAGCTGTACATTTAAACTTACTTTTTTTTCCTGGTTCATATCAAATATGTATAGAAAGAAAGTTTCCACATACAGAATGTTTACTTTCTCCCTCATGCTTTTAATGTACTTTACATCATTAATTGCACAGAATAATTAAACCACCTGCTCATACAATCTTGAGTATCTGTAGTTCAAGATGCTGGACCCAATATTGCATTTCATGCACACTCAAATTTCCTATTGAATTCCATGGGTGCACAGGAAATACAGCATAGGCCCCATTCAGATTGATCCTGCAAAATGTTGAGCACTCTGGTGAATTATCTCAACTGCTAATATCCTTGAGAAGTGTTGAGAAGTGTTCAGCATCTTGCAGGATGCTGCTTGCAGGGAATCACTTGACCTAGAAGGAGGGTATTTAATCATTTCAGTCAACCAATGCATATTTCAAAAATAATTTTACAATCTGCACTGCAAAATAGGCATTGGCAAAGTTATGACTTAAACTGAGGAACAAATTTGGCCTCATAGGCGCAATGTATCCATAATATCAATGTTTTCTAAATCTGTCATCTTTAAATCAGGTGTTTCCACTGAACACTTTAAATACCTCATTGGCACACTATTTTCAGCTGCACTATTTAAATTACACGAATGATAGGTTTAGAACCTAAAACAACTATGTATGGCACTTTGTACAATTAGAATTGTTTATATCTTTCTCCTTTTGGCCAAAGGGGTTAGACAGCTCTGTCACAGACTCTTTACTTTAAGAACATGTGATGGCTATCATGAACTTGTTGAATAATGGCCAGTGATTTTAGATGTACATAAATTATTTCAGGATGTGCTTACTGATGGTTTAAGACCTGGCTGATCAAAGGCAATTGGAAATCTGCACAAAAACTGAAGTAAGTGATGTAACACTTGCTGTAATGAGGCCTTTATTTTGAACAAGTTGGGGAGCAGGGTGGGCGATGAGAAGACTAACTTTCACTAAACCATTCCACTTTGCATTTGTATATGAAATGGATATGGCTGGTAGATGATGGGTGGCTGTCCATGAGCAACATAATAATTGCTGAAGTTCCTGTCACTGATATAGGGAGCAGGCTGATAGTAGCATGTTACGTTGGCTGCATTTGGGATGATGTTTTGTTCTCCAAGTACTTTTAAAGCGAGAATTGTAATCATGTTCAGAGTTTGTCGTCGTTCATGTCCCATGAGACAGACTGTGCTCTCATTTACAACTCCACGCAGAGTCATCAGGTAGTCATATTTGCTCTTTTCTTCCCCAATAAAATGGTTGCGCAAATATGACTCAATTTTCCTTTGTTGCTCAGCCACATCAGGAAAATCAATGAAGAATCTGGAACACATATAACGCTCCAAAGATTTAATTTCAGCCTCATCTGCTGGTTTAAAGTCACGAACCAGCAGGTTGCTGTATTTCAAAAGGCCTCCACCCCGTATTTCTTCAGGGCTCCTTGTAGAAATAAGTTTGTATTTTAGGTGATCCATTGCCTCATTGAAGTCTCCATACATGCTCTCGGCAATAACAGTAGGATGTAAATCTTCTGTCAATTCACATTCGGTATCACTGTAAACATTTAACATGGAGTCCAGTATTATTTGAAAGGAATCAACACTAAATTCAAATTGTCGTCTGAGTGAGTTTACAAATTTTAGTTCTACATTCTTTCCACTGTTGTTTGACAATGAGATGAGGCTCCAGCGGTCATGATCAGTGGAGACTTTGACCATCTTTTGCACATATGCATCTTTCATAGTCTGAGCAGTGATCTTTTCCTTATTGACACATTTTGGTAAAAAGTCCAGTAGGCAATTCAGAACTGCCTCCTTAACAACCTGAAATTCTTGTTCCCTTGGTAATTCAACACCAAAAATGATGTCCAGGTCTTTGTAGCTAGTTCCATTCTGTTTCACAAGGATGTGACTAGCTGTTGAACCATTCAGACGGATGTCTCTAACAATAATTTGCTTCTCAATAAGCTGCTCCTTTACAACATGAATGATATCCTTTGGTTTTACCTCCAGTGTTGGAAAATTTCCTCTTCCATGAATGGGTATTACCTCAGTTAATACTTGATCCAGTATTTTTATTTGATCCCAAGTGAGACTACTGAATCTGTGATCTAAATCCTCAGTCATTGTGAAGTCAGCTGGTTAACTAGGAAAAAACAACACAAATATTAAGAGGAAAACATTAGGATCCACATGCAAAAGTCCGTAGTATGCCATGCCAAACATTCATCTTACTGTAGAAGACACTGTTAGACACAATGAGCAAGTAATACATTTTACATTTAACTATATCACGAGCTGGATGTCTGACTAAACCATTGCATTTTCACTGGCCACAACTGAATTTTGATTTTTTTCAAGGTTTAATCCTATCAAATAACATTGTATTTATTGTTTAATCCAGTGACTAAAATACTCTGAAGTACTTTATCTCTGAAGAACTCTGAAGTTCTTTAATCCTGAATGAAAAGCATTCATTGTTTTCAATGGCTATTACACACATGGAACAGCCAAAGGGAATTATTTAAGAAAGACAAAAATAAAGCAAAATATTTATCTCTATGTATCTACCTCGGTATTTTTAATGTATTTGTTGCTATTATCTTCTAAATGCAGAAGTGCGCTGCATCTCATATTTTTCATTATGTTTTAAGAGCTGGAGACTGAGGAACTTGTAAAAATGTTCTCATAGAAACTCTGAGGCAAAAGTCTATCTGACCTAACTAATTCACTGTTTGACAGCACTGTGTAGGATTTGCAAGTTCTGGTTTGCAGATAATGAAGCGATCTCTAGTTTACATTGAGATTTGGGTTCTATTAAGTAGAACCTTTCTGGAAGCCTCGCACCTCACTCTCCAATATTTGTGACTGGAAACCAATAAAAAAGGCACTGGGTAAAATCATGGCTTTAGCAAATTTAATTTAATTTAATTTTTTTGCTTTTACATCCTTATTTTAAGTAGGCAGTTAGATCAATAGGTTAACTGGTTTAGGTTTATAATTAGAAAAACTTGAAAAAGCCCTCAAAATGTTGCACTTAAGATATTGCTAATTGAATATGTCCAAAATGTTATTTTCAAGACGTTTCTTAATGGGTTTTATGTAATTAAATACTCTCATTTTGAGACAAGTATGTACAAATGTAATTAAACACAGTTATACAATTAGATAATTAGAAGTAATTACAGTAATTACATAAGTTATGAAGAACTGCATTCAAGAGCTACAAAGTGAAGAAAATTCACAGTGAAGTGTTAGATCTCCAATATGTAAGTAACATTGCCAATTATTATTATTATTTCACTGGGAATTCTCTCCAAATTTCTAATCTTACCCCCCATCATGTATTACTCAATTACTAAATAAATAATTGTTATTTTGTGATGATTCTCCTTTTGCATGTCTAAGCCTCCTCAACTCCTCTGCTGCAGTTAACCACCAAATACTTAGTGAAGGAGTTTTATTGCTGAAATGCTATCATCTTCTCCCCTGAAGATCATAATATTTTTCATCACTCTTCCATAACTCCCATCATAACTCATGGACTGATATTGTTATTTGTTGATAACTTTTCAGTTACACTCCATGTCAGGTTGCTCTGACTCTACCTATTGAGTTTGTAGCTGCTCTGTAAGGGTGTGTTTGTTCTGACTCACTGCGTGATGGAGAGGGTGATTATGAAAATGATTGAACCATCATGCACAGCCTGAGAGAGGGTGCAGTCTTTAGCTAATAAGCTCACTCTTGAGACAATCCAAATATTCAGGAGTGAACACTAGAAATTCTTTAGCATATGAGAGCTTGTTGCTCAAACTTTTTATGGGCATAGGTATTAAAAATAAGTATTAAATAAGTATTAAAAATTGGTTTTGGTTAGTAGAATCTATTGTATTTTCCTGAACATACTATATATAGTTGAAATCTTGTTTTTAGAATTGCCCTTGGTTTTGTGAATTATTAGCATATAGAGATTAATGTTAAACTGAAGATCCTCATATTTTGACATTTGTTCCTTAAATCGTGTCAGCTGATTATGATTTCAAACAGTAATAAATTAGATTAATATAACTACTTTCAAAATACACTACTATAATACAGTAGAAGGATAAGGAAGATAACCTTTACAATATACCTGTGCACTGTCTATAAACACAATTGGTACTGGTGGTAATGTAATTCATTGCATCATCTCTAAAAGGAAAATATCGACTGTCTTCCTTATAATGACTTACGGGTTAGTAGGAGTTCATTGTAATGGATATTTTATTAACTTGATACATTAAATTGTTGGAGACTTAGAACCAAAAGGTCACTATTAAATAACAGACTGGAAAACTTTAAAGTTTAATTATAAAGATTTTGTAGAAGAAAAAAATATGTTTTACTCCTATAGGTGTAAGTATATTTTTATTATTTATTTATTTATTTATGTTATTTATTTATGTAACATACATACGTACATAATTTTTATTTTTTAACAAACATTCCAGCTGATTGAGGTATAACAGCTGCCAATGTTCTATGGGAAAGGAGAAAACTTAATATACATATTAACAGTGTGGGTATGTGTGAAAATATTTGTGTGATTAGGTCCTTTGTTTCTTAAATTCCATTTGAAATAAAGAAAGGGACTTGCCTAACTTTTAAGTTTATTTGAAGCTCCTCATGTGGGTGCACATAAAATATGAGCTGTTTGACTAGCTCTGTAATGGGAAAAAATGGCTATATAGCCGATGTCTGACAACTGAATAAGCATATCATGATAGAGCAAGCAAGAAGCCTTTTAAGTGACACAGAAAATCCTCCCCATTTTATTTTGGCAAAACAAAGTATCAGCAAATTGTAATAATGTTATTGTAGCATCTCCTGGCTTCATTTTATTTTCTAATCTGCAGTGACAGCACAAGTACACTGACATATATTTTATTCCTCTCTCTTCAGTTATAAATATCTTGCTGAATCAAGACCTAAAAAGGTTAGTATTTTGTTTGTTTTCTTAAACTGCTGCTGACAAGATTTTTTCATTTGTTATACTCAATCCCATACTCCCAAACTTCCCCTTACTTTAGTGTGACGTATATAGGTTCATGATTCCAAGGCCATAGGGGACTGATCACCTAGTTTGACCTTCTATATAGATAAACATTGTTCACCTGGATGAGTTTAGGACAATGTTTCTCAAAGTGGGCGGTGGCCCCACTTTGAGAAAGCTGATAAGGGGCCATTCTGGTTTGTTTACTTACTGGCTCTGTAGCCACAGAGCCTTGCGTCACCCATTGGCTGTGGTTCACTGTTTGCAGCCAAGAGGAGCTGCAGGAAGCAGCAGCTTGGCCACACCGTTTCTTCTGACTCTTCGTGGCTGCAAATGGTAAACCCCGGCCAATGGGAGTTGTGAGGCTCCCTGGCTGCAGAGCTGTAAAGTAAACAAACAGGAGCAGCCCGCTAGCAGCTACTTGTTTAGGATATTCAGTATTCAACATGAAAACTAAAGAAATTGCTCTTCCTTACATTT